CCAAAGGTGTCCTGTGTGTCTAAGGAAAATGTTTAATTAACTAGCTCGTAAGAGAACTAGCATGCATTAGTTTGCAAAATTTATCAAAAATATATCCCCTTTCTTGGAAGTCTCACTTAATCAGCACTTATGAATTTTTATACTTGTTTTTTTTTTCTGTATTCATCACCTGTTTTTCGAAATGGAACTATCACAAATCTACAATGTGGACAATTATCTAACTTTTTAAAAAGTCACTGAAAAAAGGCAAATTAAAACAATCACTTAAAATATGATTTTTTATTGCCTTGGTATACATCGACAGCATTAGGCTTGACAGTGAAGTGCAGTTTTGCAAAGTACATTACAACTCTGACATGTGTGCTTTTGACTCCTAAAGATAAAATTAATGTGGATAGGCTGAATCAACTTGCTTCTGCTGAAATAAGTTGAGGATAAATTCTATATTTGAAAGCAAGAAAATATAGAAAAACTAAGATGTTTTTAGGAAATTAAATGAATTAAAATATTGCCTTTCTTATCCTCTCCCTTTTTACTCTGCATTTTAAAATATTTTAAAAATGACCTGGCTACTTACTACATTTTTCTTTCTCATAGCTAAATTATTATTACTATATTGAGTGCACTAGGGAAAAAATTTTTTTTACATGCAACAAGCTCATAGAAGGAATGAGTTTCCAGTCGATTTCTGAAAGAACAGAAGAGTACAACACTCAGAAAATTTCAATGTGAATTATAAACCAAGATTGCTACATCTTTTTAAAAATTATTTTGCAGGGCTTGTTTCATTTTTTTAAATTACTTTTTTCTTAACACGTCTGTCCCTTTCTCCTTGATGAAGGGTTTGGAATACCCTAAATTGGTTTCTTACTGCTTCTCCCTGTGTGTTAGGCAACGTGGACTAATACAGGCACAAGCTCCTATCAGGATGAGCTGGTTAATGGCGATGGTTAGGCAAATGTTTTTATCTGTGGAATGTAAGAACTAAGCACCAGAGGTTGGCAGTCTTGATTTCACATAAACAAGGCCTGGGAATTTTGTAAAAACCAGTTTGGGTCCAACTTGTGATACACGAAATTAGAATATCTGCAAGGAAGAGTTAGGTATTTGCATGTTTAAAAGTCTCCCTAGGAGATTACGAAGTACAGCCACATGAAGAACTCCTGAATTCAGAGGAAGAAATTACAAGTAAACTATCTTTAGTTTGTATGTTATTTGTCTAATGAAAACAAAACCTAGTGAAAGACTTTACTATAGCAACACTTTGCATGAAAGTAAAAACTGTAAGATTTGTAAAAGCCATACAATTTCAACAATAAACATCAGTTTTTTATATACCAAAGTTAAGAGTGGAGATTATCTGTTCATTGTGATAAACTGAATCTAAGATGACTGATTTCCCTAATTAAATAAACATCAGTTACTCTCACTGGGTTCTATAAAGTTCCGCAGTGACAACTCTGAACATGGGAAAAAAAAATCCTGCAGTTTCTTCAAACTGCTTCTTTTTTTCAAACCACATTACTATCAATCTTACCTCAAGTCTCTAATTTCTCAATTCTAAAGCCAGATTTAGGAGTATAAGATTAAGTCACAATGGTCTTTCTTGTTGATGCAGTATAAATTTATGGTCATTAATAACACCTGAGAACGCCATTTGCTGCAAAGAACTCACAGATTCACATTATGCTTGGCTGTCACATAACACACAACATTGTTAACTTCAAAGTTTTTTATTTTAATTCTTTTCAATTAACTTTTAACTAAAGAAGCAAAACAGCTTGCCATTACAAAAATGATTTGATCAGAACTCAGGAACAAATATTAGTTTGAAAACAGAGTTTGGAGCTTCATTGTGAAAAAATTTAGAGGCAGCCAGTCATCTTGTGCTGTTTCGGAACCTTTGGCAGTGTGGGCTCTTGTACCTTCCTCTGTGCTTGAAGACCAGACAGCGCCTAATGCATGACTGTCCACCTGCACTGCAAGCCTTGGAAAGTGACAAGACTCTACAGTCTTAGATATTCACAAACACATGGGCTGAAACAGAAATTATTATTGTATTATTATTCTGTCTTCTCCATTTTAAAGAATCTAAAGTGTTCTTGATTTATTATCACTTAATTTTATAAATTCAGAGTGGTGTTAAATTTCTTTCTTTTTATTTTTCAGTAAAACACAATTGCTGTGAGAACACACAGGAATCTATGTTAAAATATTAATTTGTCCAAATATGAAACACATATAAGTATACAGAACATTTAGAGTACTTCTGATTTAGCAGTTTTATTATAGTTAAAATAAGTCATTTAGATTCTTATATCCTTCTTTTCATATCTATAAAATGAATGCGACTCACTGTATTCATTTCTTAATTTTCAATCCTAAAACAATTCATCCTAAAGAAGACAATTTGTCTTAAAAAATTTTAACTAAATTTGTTTTGAAAATTTTCTTCAAAAACTCAACTCAACTGAAACTATAATATTCAAACAGTAAAAGGTAGAACATGATATGCTATTAACAGTGTTTAGAAGGTCAAGAACTTTCTCGAAGTTTTCAGTCCATAACATTTGTGACTCAAGACACACCAGCTCATAGGCGATATGTGAACAACACAGGTATTTATCTGCTTGTTGTTATGTAAAATGTTAATAGCTACATGGGACTGTTCTGATGTGCTGTGCGTTTCACTTCATCTAGAATGTTCTGGATGTGTGTACTGTTTTAGCTGGCTTCATAAGGTTTGTTGCTTCACTTTAGGCATGTCAGATAGCTGTGTTTTTGCATTCTTTGGTTGCAGAAAGCATTGGTTAGCACTTCACGTGCTGTTGTAATCTTCAAAGCTATAGGAAAAAAAAATACCAACTTTTCCTTTGAGTACAAAATATAGCTAACCGTGGCCCGTGTATGTGAGCTGCTAAGAACTTGTGACTCTCGCAATACATTTATACACACACATTTGAAGGCGAAATTTCAAGTGCATGGGGATTGAAGCGTTTTCAACAACTCTAATTATACTTAAGAAAATGTATTAACTCTGAAAGAAGGCTGCTTGAACCCCTCAAAAAATAAAAAGTAACCAACTAATTCTGAAACTTTTTCTGGGATTTCCAACTCAGTAGGTCTAAGTGAATTTACATCTTCCAAAATTCTGATTACGGTAACATATATGATTACGGTATATATATATATGTTAATATTAATACACACACATTGAGAAGTAAATCTCGGGTTCTGTAATCACAGAAAGTGTCTTTTATGTAAGACTCACACCGAGATGTGGCTGGAGTTGCACACACACCTTTTTCAAACCAGAGGTATTTCCACGTTTATTTTAATTGGAAGGAAACTATGAGATAAACAACTCTCTCCTGCTAAGAAACCTGTGCATAGGTGGGATTCCCCATGATTCAGTGTAAGGCTCGCTCTTACTCACAGCACTCTCAACTCCACCATTCTAATTTAACACAGAACATAACGTTTTAAAGAAAAAGGAATTGATATATTGGTCAACGCCGACCAAAAAGCAATGCAAATTAGACTTTTATTACAGCAAGTAGGCAGTCTTCCCCTTGACAAGATCCACAAGTGACTGTGTCCGGGAGGCAAAGTATTCTAACTTTTCAGATTTAGCCATCTTATTTTGATTTGCAAAGCAAGAAACGTCTAGAAAACAGGTCCTGTGTGGAACAGTGAGGCAGCCACAAGACGTTATTGCTTTTCCTATCACTAGTCTGACATTTGAAGGTAAACAAAGCGTGCTAAAATGAGTGAGAAAGATGGTAAAATGGCAACACTGCCAGGAACTCCAAGATCTTGACTGCACAGGCATTTTCAGCGACGGTTTGTACACCTGACTGGTAAAATCACCACGAGTGGGATGTGCTTTCCAGTAACCACGTACTGGAGTACCTGAAACCCGTTTGAAATAACTGGATGTGTATTCAATGCTATGAATCCTCGCTTCTTGTAACAGTCGTTGTTTTCTGAGAATTCTGGAATTTCCTGAACCACAGCGTGCGGCGGGAGGGACGTGCTCCTGAGTGGGCTCCACGTCTCAGGTCTGTGGCTGCGCCTCGGGTTCTTTCCGAGCCACACTATCTCTAGTGGGGCGGCAGGAGTTCTCCGTAAAGGCAGCCGGGCATGGCAGGAGAAGCAGGTACTGCAGCTCTGAGAGCCGGGCTCGGGCCGGCGTCCGGCTTCCCGCACGGCCAGCTCAGCGCGGCGCGTCTCAACTCCGCGCCTTCCCCACCACGTTGATTCCCGGGTCTAACCCGACCTTTGTACCGGGAGCTCCCGGGTCGGGGAGACGGGCGTGGGTGCAGAGCGAGCCACTGCGTCCGACTTCTCTGTGGCCCACGGGCCGGAAGGGGGCCAGCAAGCGGGACCCCCGGGACGCCCCCCGACCGCACCCCGCCGGGCCGGGCACCGCGCGCGCGTGGCCAGTCCCGCCGACGGCGCCCAGGAAGCGGCGGGCGGCGTGCGCCTCCGGGACCGCGTGCGGCCCGCGAGCGGAGGGCGTGCCGGAGGCGTGGCGCGAGCCGGCCGGGCCGGGCGCCGGGCGAGGCGGGCGCCGGGGGGCGGGACGCGGGGCTGGCGCGGGCCGGGCCGGGGGGCGCGCGGCGCCGGCGGCTCCCGACTCCCGCTCTCCGGGGCCGCCGAGCAGGAGCCGCCGTGGGCGGGGCGCGCGGTGATTGGCGGGCGGGCGGGGAGGTCGGAAGTACTTTGTTTTTTATGCTAATGAGGGAGTGGGGCTTGTCCGTATTTACGTTGAGGCGGGAGCCGCCGCCCTTCATTCACCCACATGGTCCTTCGAGGTGCCGCCGCCGCCGCCCGCCCGCCCCGCGCCTTCGCGCCACTCGGCGCCCCTCGCGCCAGGCCGGGGGTGCGGGGTGCGCCCCCCGCCGCGCCGCCCCGGCCCGCGCCCCTCGGCGGGGCCGCCCTCGGCCGAGCGCCCCCGGGGCCGAGCCGGGCCGGCCGCACCCCCGCCGCCCCCGGCCTGGGGCCTCCGCCCGCTCGTAGTAAAGCGGAGGCGGCTCGGGGAAGGCGGGAGCGAGAGCCCGCGGCGGGGCTGGGCGAAGATGGTGGCGGCTACTCCTCCCGGTGAGTGCTGGCCACCCCTCCGCCGACGGAGAGAAACCTGTTGTGTGCGCGCGCGCGCGTGTGTGTGTGTGGGGCCGGGGGGCCCGGGGCCGTTGGGGCGGCCCGTCCCTCCTCGCCGGCCGGACACGCGGGGCCGGGCCGGGCCGGTGGGAGCCGAGGGGGCGGCGTGCGCGCGGTGGCCGCGCCCGGGACCCGCGCGCGGACCGTGGCTCGGCCGGCCCCGGAGGGCGGGTGGGCGCGGGGCGCACACAATGGCCCCTCGGGGGGCAGAGGACGTGCGAGGGGCGGCCGGGGGCCCGGCGCGGCGGGGCGCGGGGGGTCTCTCCGGGCCCTCGGCCGCCGGGCGGGCAAAGTTTGTCCCGGGGGCGAGAGTTAAAGCGCCTCCAGAACAAAGCGGCGGCGGCGGCACATGGGGCAGGCCGCGGGCCGGGAGGGGGCGCGCCCACGAGGTACCTGCGCGCCGGCGGCCGGCGTGGCGTGGGCGGGAGCCCGCGGGCCCCCAAACTTTGTGCGCCCGACGGAGGGCGCGTGGAAGGGGCGCGGGAGGCGCGGGAGCCCGGGGCCGCGCGGCCTGGGTGCCGGCTGCCCGCCGCCCCGCGTGGGCTTTTGTTAAGCCCGCGTGGGCAGTCTTCCGCGCGCAGACCCACCCGCCCCGGGGCCGGCCTCGCAACTTCCCCGCCCGTGGCCCCCCGGCGGCGGCGGCGTGGGAGCTCGCCCGGGCTGCGGCGCGCGGCGCGGGAGGGACGGGCCCGGCGCGGCGGCAGCGCCGTCCCCGCCGCCATGTTCCTACGGGGCGGGCTGCGCGGGGCCGAGGGCGGGGGACATGGCGGCGACTGCGCGCCGCCGCCGATTGTTCCCGGCTTAGGCCTCGGGCCGCGTGCGCCGGGCCCCGCGGCCGCCGCGCCCCCGCCCCTCGGGGCCGGCCGGGCGGGCGGGCGGCCCGGCGGGGGGACACAAAGGAGGGGCGGCGCGCCCGCGTCCACGCCGCGCTCGGGCCTGGGCGCCGCCGCGAGCGGGGCGGAGGGGGGAGGTCGCCGCGTCCGGCTGGGCCCGGCTCGGACCCGTCCCCCCCTGGCGGCGGCGCGGGGAAGCGCAGGGCCGCGCGCCCCTTGTGCGACATGTGCCCGGGCTCCATGAGCGTGGCGGGCGCTTCGCGGGCGGCGGGGCTGGCTTCCCCGTTTTGTGTTCCGGAGCCGGGGCAGAAGGGAGAGGAACTGGAGAGAAGGCGGGCTCGCCGCTGCCAGGTCGCCGGAGGAGAGGAACGAGCGGCGTGCCGCCGGGAACGCAGCAGTTGAGGAAACAACTCTTTATCCCCGGCGTGCAGCCACGAGGTCCTGGTGGGGGAGGGGTGGGGAAGAATAGTGCCCCTTGCTCGTCGGAGCTGCACGCGGGCGGTCGTGATTGGTGCTGGTTAAGGGCGAGTGTTTTGGGAGTGGGAGACCTTGCGTCTGATAACTAGAGATTTTCCAACTTTATTCCACTTTTTCACCCACACGTAGTTGGTTTTTTTTTTTTTTTAATTGTTGCTGTTACGGCCTCGCTCTGCTACCCTTAGTTTTTGCACGTGGAATTCATTGGAATTATATGGAGAGGTTCTGAATAGGTGATCATTTTGAGCAACTGTTCATCGATTTTTTTTTTTTTTTTTTGTCGCTTGTTCTCCCTGCCCCCACCCCAGCTACCCACGTGGACCTAACACGGCCCCAGAGCTGTCTAAGGATACTTGCTGAGGAGGAAGTTTTCCTGAGTGGGTAAGTACTTATAATTTACTTCCAAGTTTTCATAAAAACGGAATTCTGTTGACTTTTACCCTTCAGCTGAATGAATCCGATGTGGTGGGGATCCTGCACGGGAGATAGGAGCTTTTTGTATTTTGTCCACTGTTCCGGGTCTGCCTGATGAGGTCGGGTTTGGGCCAGCTATCTTGAACGTCCTGAGAGCGCAGTGCCAATGCTATGTGCAGCTTTCAAGCTGTACTGATAACATTCTTAGAAGCTGCTTTGTAAGTTGGATGGTAAATTTTAAGTTCCAGATTAATTTGTAAAGCTAAAAAACGTGGTCCAAGCAGTAATTAATCATTTCATCAAGTTGCCCCTGGGATGTGAGGGCGTGGAGAGTTGTTCTCTTAACAGGTACCAGGAGGGTTGGTAGAGGCGCTCTGGTTGCAGCTGTTTCTAATGAAGGACTAGGTGAAAAGCTGCTGTTTTTTCTATTTCTCTTACTATTGTAGAATGGTGGTCGGTTTTATTTGTAAAGAGTACTTGTTGAAACTTTCAAAGTGTCTTAAGTGGGAACCATGGCTTTGGGATAATTAAAAACTAATTTTTTCTTCCCTGCTAGGGATGATGTGGAACTTTGCATGCTTTGTGCCTGTTGAAGACTGGAAGGTGTTGTAATTGTTGGTTTCAGGTTTGGCAGGAGTCCGGCATCGCCTTGTCAGCCTGAAGACGGTGACCAGTCAGAATAATGTCAAAGTGCTTACAGTGCAGGTAGTGATATGCGCATCTACTGCAGTGAAGGCACTTGTAGCATTATGGTGACAGCTGCCTCGGGAGCCACGGGGCGTCACGCGCAGGCCTGCCGCTGCTCAGTGCTTTTTGTTCTAAGGTGCATCTAGTGCAGATAGTGAAGTAGATTAGCATCTACTGCCCTAAGTGCTCCTTCTGGCATAAGAAGTGATGCTTTCATCCAATAATTCAAGTCAAGCAAGTATCTAGGTGTGTTCATAGTGTTTATTTGCAGTCTTCTGTTAGTTTTGCATAGTTGCACTACAAGAAGAATGTAGTTGTGCAAATCTATGCAAAACTGATGGTGGCCTGCTATTTCCTTCAAGTGGCTTGTACTAATTGTCTGTACTTTTGTTGTGTCGATGTAGAATCCGCCTGGTGCATGCGATGTGACAGCTCCTGTAGCACTAAAGTGCTTATAGTGCAGGTAGTGTTTGGTGATCTACTGCATTCTGAGCACTTCAAGTACTGCTAGCTGCAGAACTCCAGCGTCGGCCTGTCGCCAGCCCAAGGGTCCTGTCGAGCACTGTTCTATGGTTAGTTTTGCAGGTTTGCATCCAGCTGTGTGATAGTCTGCTGTGCAAATCCATGCAAAACTGACTGTGGTAGTGAAAAGTCTGTAGACGAGGAAGGGAGCATCCAACCCCTTTCTGCACAGGCTGGGACCGGTCGCAATGCTGTGTGTCCGTGTGGTATTGCACTTGTCCCGGCCTGTTGAGTTTGGTGGGGATAGTGACCGGAAGATTTTGCAAACTAAAAATTCGGAAGATTACGACTTCTGCTGTTAAACATTCAAGAGCTGTGAAACTTTAGGAAAAAAGAACTTGTAACTTTAGTTTTGGCCCTGTGAAAACTTGCTGGTTATATTCTGCTTCTTGAAACCAAATTTTGCCCTCTTTTGGTGCTGAAACAATTCTGAGTCTGCATTTTGAGAAAATGTGAGTGTAACTTTTGAGTTTAAGACCATTCGGCGTTTTGTAATTGTAAACTGATTACATGCAAGATGATGGCCTTCTGCATTTTGGATATGCCGTTTTGCCTTCAGATCTAGTTCACCAAATGTGAAAGTTGATGAAACGGGTCATTTAATATATTCAAGTATTTTGAGTTCTGTTTTGTATACAGCAATGTGTAAAGAGTTTTTCTTAAAGCATTGAATTTAAGATGAAGAGGCTGTTCAGTGAATAGTATCTTAACAATGAGTTCTTGATGTATAATGGCTGCTGTCTGTATATTAGTGTTTTCTTTGTTAGTGGTGCGTGAGTGCTCATGTGTAAATTTTCATGGTGCTTAGACTGTTAGCATTTAAAATTAAAAGGGGAGATAAGAGTGGGCTACACATTTGAATTCATTTTTCTCGAAAGCTGGAGGTGGATTTACGTTCCTTGCCTCACTCAACCTGAAATTCTGTACACTGCTAGTCACTTCTGGGCTGGTGCTATTGATGGCACTGGATAGAACTTAAAGGTGGTTACAATGTTTTTATCCATCTTTTCTTTCATGTGTGAAAAATTAAAAGTTGTTACAGATCCACCATTTTCATTGTATTTTGGAGGGAAAAGGCAGAGTTAATCTGACTTCCAAGGCTTCAGCAGTTAAATTGCTTGACAGATTAAGAAACTTTTAGTGTGGACCTTGAAGACTTGAATAAGCTTTCACCTGTTATGTGTCAATTCCTGGGAACTTAATCTTGGAGTCCGGAATAGAAAGGTAAGATTTTTGACAGTTCTGGAGGTGATTAACTGGAAAATTTTCAGGATGAGGAAATAATTAGGCATTAGTAAGAAATTTATATAGCCAAGTTCTTCAACTTTTTTGAATTGAAGAACATTGCTTTAAGATAAATGGATGTTAGAAGTTCTGAAACATCATAGTTTATAGTTGCCTGTAAAAGAATATTCTGTACTTGTAACGAAATAATAAAATGTTTTTTAAAATGCTTTAAAAGTGAAATTGTGATTTGTGCCCAGCCAGATGACTTCTTAAGTACACACTGAGTCTTAGTAACAAAAGCTTGAAGTACTTACCCTGTGTGGTGTTCAGGTGTGTTCAAAATGTCATTGGATCTGAACCGAGACTCAAATCTAATGGAATTGTATGTTAGCAGGGTTGGTTATTGAGCTGAAGTTGTGTGGGTTAGGAATTCCTCTGGCTTTAAAATGGGAAATTTTGTTTGTGCTTCTAAGATTTTCTCAGACATAAGCATGAAAACATGAAAGCTGGTGTTAAGTTTTTTTTTTATGCTCAGTTAACTCACTACATTTCTGTTTGAAAGAAAAACAGCTTTAAATTGCACTAACCATGAAGTTGCTTGAGACTTAGGTTTAATGGATAGCCTTAAAACTATGCTGGTTGGAATGGATTTTTTTTTAAAAGCATGTTATACATGTATTCTGTTTTTAGGCTTATTTAGAAGAAAAGCACTTTAATTTGTAAAGCGTTTGAGTGGTATCTGACTTTACTGAAGTTTTGAGGTCTTAATTTTTATAGGCAAGCCTGTGAGTAAGTGCAGCAAGCCTGACTGTCCGTAGGTGGGAGAATCCTGCAGCGATTCCTGACAAGGGCAACCTGCAAGCTGCCCGGACGACAGTTTGTCATGCTAAAGTTTGCTGTGTGTTAATGAAGTAGTCCTGTTGATGATTGACAGCCCTGTGTCGGCTGTCCGGCACTGGAGTGAAGAGCCCCAAGCCAGTCACGCAGCACGATGAGGCGAGGAGGGCACAGTGCTAGGCCAGTTTGTGTCTGACTGAAAGTAACGTGTCTACTTGAGCCTTTTTAAGTTATCCTCTGGTTTGGTTTACATTCTGCTCAAAGCCTGAGTTAATGTGGTTTTTCCTTTCGGCGTGTCATGAATTTGAGTTTTAAGCATCATTAAGAAAAGACGTGTTGTCTGAATCTTAAGACCATAGCAAGAAAAATGGTTGACCTGAAGACATTTAATATTCCTTTTCTGAAAGTCTGTACTCGTAATGACAGTTTGGCCAGGCTGTTGAATGGCTTTAGTGGATTTGATGTTAAGTACTGCATTTCCAAACTGCCCAGAATGAATGTTAAAATAAAGATTCTTATTTTAGCAGTGTTTGTGGTGTTTTCATTTTGTTTTGTTAGAACAAATAGCCCATAAGTTTCTGCTTAAGTGGAGAATTGGAGGCAAGTACCATAGTTACTGAGCCAGTGTTACAGGGAGACCTATTATAAATGTCTTCAGTTCCTGGTTTGAATAGCTGGTTAACTATGTTTAGGACTGGGTTGAATGGGTGTGTGATGACGGCGCTGAATCTGATGGTGTCTTCCGAGAAACTCCTCGGTAATTCCCAAATGTTGAAAAATGGTAAATGCGTGAATGCAGGTTTGGAGGTGAATGTTTAACATGGTATAAAAGTAAAAGATAAGGTTGAAGACCAGTGATGATAGGAGTGTGTTCCTATTTCTGGGATTTTTATTCCTTCAAGTAACCCTGGGGGCCTGCAGGAGCCAGGAACTCGCTGTGTAGCACATATGCCCGTTCAGGATCCAGCATCAGTTCCTGGGTATCACTACTCTATTTCAAGCCAACTTGGTGCTGACTTGCCTCCTCAGTGGTGGCAGGTGAAGGTTGACAGTTCCTGTTACTCAATGGGTGGTTGATGCCGTTCTGAACTGGGGCCAGATGATGGATGGAATACTGCTCTCCAGCAGATTGGATGTTTTAATAGGCGTCCTGTAAGATAGCTTTAGGTGGGTGTTAAACTCTGTGAAAGCTGCTTGGAATTGGATGGACTAGGCATTTACCAAGGTAGTTCTTAGCCATAGTTGGGCGTGGTAATTTTATGAAACAGATTTGGGCTTGATTCATGGATATTAGAGCTGAAAAGTGTTGCTTAAATTGTCCCAAATTGCTGAGATGGATGCTGGAGGCCCTTATTCCTTACAGTTAGTAGTGGAGGTACAAGAATATTGTATGTGCATTAGTTGCTCACTTTTTTGCACCTGACAAATTTTGCACGAGAGCAGCTTTAGCCTCAATTGTGTTAAATTCACAGCATGTCATCCAATTAAGGTAGTAATCCCTTTACCCCTCCCCCAAAGGAGCAGGTGTGTAATATGTGGGTTTCCTCAAGGGTTGGTTGGTGCATTGCAACATGATGTAAGCATTAATTCAATATTAGGATTTTCCTTTAAAGCTTTCTTGTTGGACCTTAAGATGCTTGTGTAAGATACAAAACTAAGAAAGCAGCATAAATAGGAATCAGGCCTGTTAAAACCACGTGTCTGCCGGCCCCAAGTTAAGTGCTCGTGATTTAATCCCATTTGCTTCCAGTCCTTGAATATGGGGCAAGTCCACCTCTCAACTGGAAACTAGAAACCAGAAATGCAGCTTCTGAGGCTTTTCTCTCAAACTGGGACTAGCATGCTTATTTTCATATCCTCCAGTCTTCACCCCCCAAAAGACCCTCTTAGACATGTAAGGCGAAGGTGTGTGGCATGTTGGTGTTTCAGGACCTGAGACATTGGAAGGCATTCAGTGGTGCTTGCACCCAGAACTAGACTTCCAGCCTTGTGAAGCTTTTCACTTACTAAAATCTAGACTTAATTCAGAAGAGTAATTTTCAGCTTACAAGTTAGAGGGCCTACAGAGGAAACCAAATCTTGCAGGTATGTGTCAATGGGTGAAGAATATTATTGCTATAACGAGACTGGTTCAATGGGTGCAGGAATGAGCTATGGCTGTAATATGTGTGGGACTTTAAAAGGTAACCACTGGGGCCCGGCGCGGTGGCGCAAGTGGTTAAAGGTCCTCGCCTTGCACCCCCGGGATCCCATATGGGCACCGGTTCTAATCCCGGCAGCCCCGCTTCCCTTCCAGCTCCCTGCTTGTGGCCTGGGAAGGCAGTCGAGGACGGCCCAAAGCTTTGGGAACCTGCACCCGTGTGGGAGACCCGGAAGAGGCTCCTGGCTTCGGATCGGCATAGTATCGGCCCGTTGCGCTCACTTGGGGAGTGAATCATCGGACGGAAGATCTTCCTCTCTGTCTCTCCTCTCTGTATATCCGCCTTTCCAATGAAAAAATAATAAAAATAAATCTTTAAAAAAAAAAAAAAAAAAAAGGTAACCACTGAGTTGTATTATTGGCAAATATCTAGGTATTGTTGGGCAAGACTTCACTGAACTGCAGTATGTATTAATCCAGCAAAAGGACTTCCCCAGATCCCGTTCTGATGTTTGTGTGAAAAGGGATCTGTAGGAAATAAGATTTTGGAGCTGGGCTGCTAATTTTCCTTAAGGGAAGCCACTGACAGCAGAGTGACAGTCTCCCCACTAAGGGCTGAGACATTCTGCTTAGTGGCAGGTGAACAGCTCACAGCATGGTTCTGTTGCCTGATGAGGTAATATTGTGGCTTGTGTGTGTTTTGAAGTTAGCTTAGCATTTAGGCTATCAGTGCTTTCCAACACTGCAGCTTTCTAGTTTCTGACTTTGCCAGGCATTCAGGACACTGCAGTAACAACACACAATACCTGGTTTATATAATTGGTTTGTTTTGTGGGCCCTCCTAGCTTGTGAGCTGAAGGTTGCTCTTTTGAGTTAGGCTAATTTTGGCTAAGTGAGAAGCTTGACAGGCTAAAAGTCTTAGTGGTTAATATTTAGAAAAGTTCTGGGTTCAAGGACCAGGGTTGCCCCTATTAGGAGTTTAGGCAAGTTGAGTGCAGTTCACCTTAAAATTTAAGCTCACATAGCATCTTAAAATTGAAGTCTCAGTTCTAATTTGCCAGAAACAACTTGGGGTTGGGACTCGCCTGAGCTAGGCAAGAGACGGGCCCGAGTTTCCTCTGCTAGCATGACAGAGTCAGTGTCTAACCCTGCTCCACCCGCCGTTCCCAAGCACACAGGACTAGGCATGGTGGTGGTGTGGGTTGCTACATTCTGAGGATTGGTGAGGGTATAACCCAAACGGCAAAAGTGAGTACAGTGAGCAGGGGAGGGAGAATTTCCAGGTAAGCGGACGGGGCAGGCACATCCAAGAAGCAAACCTGGCTTACTAGGCTGTGTGTGCTTCCCCTGCACTGCAGGGCTGTTGCAGAAGTCCCTTGCAATTCTTGGTTCAAACGTTGCTTATCCTTGCCCTAGTTAATAAATTGCCATTTGTTTCATTCAAAGCATTTACTGCAACTTACGTTTTTTTCCTGTCTTGCTGTTGTAACAAGTTTTGCCACAACCTAATGATGTAAAACAACATAAATGTATTGTCTTAACAGTTCTAAGTGTTAACGTAACGTTTCACCCATCAAAGATACCAGTAGCACTGTGTTTCTGGAAGCTCTTTGCATACAGGTTAACCTGTCCAGCTGATGAAGCTTGCATTTCTTGGTTCACTCCCTGGGTCGTCAAAGCCGGCACCAGGCGGGTCATTTTCTTCCATCCTATTGCTCTTCCCCTTCCCAGGACTCTTGTGATGTAGTCAGCCCATGTGGGTCAACTGCCACTGTCATGTCACTTCATCATAGAGCTCTTGGGCAAATTCTGGAGAATGGGACTTTGGATTTTTAAGGCATTTTTTCCCATGGCATTTCTCCTAGTCTTCATGGAATTCTGTTGACTGACAGGTTTATAGTCCCAGGCCTGCCTATCTTGCTTTTTTTTTTTTTTTTTTTTTTTTAAAGCACTGATCCCTGCTTGTGGGTCTCATCACCCTAATTGCCTCCCCAAGGCTCTAGAGCCAGTCACCATTAATGTACGAATTCTCCAGTATTGGACAGTTGATAGAGGTTTAAAGAAAAAGCAATTTATAAAAATTAAGTTTATTTTGGTACAGGCAGCTTTGAAAACCAGGAATGGTAGCTTTGTTTTTTAAAAGCAGTAGGCTTCCCATTGAAGCATTGATCCCTTGTACTTTTCACAAGCTCATTCAAGGAGATTTTTTTTTCTTGTTTGCATTTTATCAGTGAAATGACAGACTGAAGAAGACATCCAGGATTGGGGATCATGTGTCAGTATAGGGGCTTCAGTGACTACCTGCAGTGCCGGGGTCCAAAAGCTGTGCCGGTCCGTGTTCTTGCGGTTCTGAGAGCCCACTGTTGATACCTGGGCAAAGCAGTAGAAGAGAATTTAATTATAAGGACACCTGCCCCCATGTAAGAGATTCATGAAGTGTCCTGATGGCTAATTTTGGCCTTGCCCAGCTCTGGCCACATGGCCATCCGGGGATTCTACTAGCGGATGGCAGACCTCTGTAACTTTAATTTTCAAATAAATAGATTTTGAAGATTTTCAGGATAGACAAATCATCCCTGAAATCTTTTTTTATTTTTTTTTTAAAGATTTATTTTTATTATTTTTTATTGGAAAGGCAGATATACAGAGAGGAGGAGAGACAGAGGAAGATCTTCCGTCCAATGATTCACTCCCCAAGTGAGCCGCAACGGCCGATGCTATGCCAATCTGAAGCCAGGAGCCTCTTCTGGGTCTCCCACACGGGTGCAGGGTCCGAAAGCTTTGGGCCATCCTCGACTGCTTTCCCGGGCCACAGGCAGGGAGCTGGAAGGGAAGCGGGGCTGCCGGGATTAGAACCGGCACCCATATGGAATCCCAGACATGCAAGGCGAGGACCTTAACCACTTGGGCCACCGCGCCAGGCCCTGAAATCTTTTTAAAAGTGAATTTATTTGAAAGCCACAATTAGTAGAGGCCGGGGGAAGAAGCCCTGTTAGCTGGCTCATTGTCCAAATGGTCACAGCGGCCAGGGCTGGACCAGGAGGAAGCCAGGAAGCTTCATCTGAGTCTCCCACATGAAGGCAGGGGTCCAATTTTTTGGGCTGTCTTAAGGCTGCTTTCCCAGGCGCATTAGCAGAGAGCTGGGTCACAAGTGAATCAGCCAGTGGATTCTGACATTGTGGCTGGTACTTAACCCACCACACCAGAATACTGGCTTTAGATATATGTTAATGGAAATATTAAAGACTTGCTTATAGAAGTAAAGATATAGAACTAAATCACCCATGTTTGAATCCTTAGAATTAAGCCAGGGTTTGGCCCGGTGGCGTGGCCTAGTGGCTTATGTCCTCACCTTGAACGTGCCGGGATCTCATATGGGTGCC